TATGCATAAAACAATAGAATGCTTAAAACTATTGTTGTTAGGACAATAAATCCGAAAGTCATGGGAGAATTTAAAACCAATATTATACTGAAAAAATTAGAATAAACTGAGTTCTGTTTTTTTTTTTTTAAAGCTACAAAAAACACTTTTTGCTATAATTAAAAAGAATAAATTTGAAAGGATGCCCCTGGACTTCAGAAATGTTTTGAATTAAAAATAACAAAAACAAACTTTTCTAACAAGTTATTTGACATTGTTTGAAGTATTTTGAATTTTGAGCAGAGATTTAAAAACAAATATTGTATAACTTATTTAAAAAAATAAACCTGCTTGAATAAATTCCCACTATAAGTATTTACCTTAATAACCTTGATAGAACACAAACAAACAACAAATGCTCAAGATCTCAACGTGTGAATTAAAGAAACAGGCGCTGCACTATAGTACTTCATTCACCCCAAAAAAGATACAAAAATATGTTCATTGTCATTGTGGAAGTGGTTGACTATGGTGGCATCTAGTATTTGTGTTGAAAATGTATGTCATGAGGTTGATGGATGGATGTTTTTACAAAAGATGTTGTTTTGATGTGTTGTGAGAATCTGAGGGTATATAACCGGATGAAACCTTCAACAAAGGTCAACTGGCTGATAGACTCGAAAGGCAGAGACTGACTGTTTGCTAGCTTGTCGTCGTACTAGGTCAAAATAAATAGAGTAATGTAAATAGACTTATGTTTTAAAATTTTTATGATTTTTGATTCATAGTGGTTTTTACAAAATAGCAATTGCATTCACCGGAAATGTAATTGCTTTGGTTTTTTGAAATATGTTTGTGTTTTTATACCATCTAAAAAGATGGACAGTGCATTGATTTGTTTGTAATACATTGGAATATTGTTCGTAGTCCCTCAAAAGTATGTATTTCTGTGAATATAGTATTTGATAAGTTTTGTTAGTTTCGAAAATGCGCAATATTGTATCATGATTTTTCTATATTTAAGTTTGTTTCTAAAAACATACAGTTATCATATTTAAGGGTAATTAGTAAACATTACTAACATAGTGTGCTTATTTATGTATATTATAACTTATTAAGTTTCATATTTTTAAATTAATTATTATATTATTATGAAAGTCCTTCGACTTTACCTAGACACACATGTAAACAAACATTTTAAACAAATAATATCCTTGAATTTCAAAACAGATAATCCAACCCAAAAATGTTCACAAAAACCTAAAAATGATAATTTACATAAACTCATAAAGAATAAAAATGCCCGGCATTTCGTGGATGATTACTATTCTCACCCACTTCGAAGGGTAATCAACAATAAAAAATTAATAGATTCCATTTTTCCGAAATGGAATCCGAAATTTCCAAATATTGACTAGATGCATAATAATGTACAATGTTTGTCCGTAGCATTTTAGAGGTAAAAGAATCCACTTGGAAGGTCAAGGAGTCCGACTTTCGGTTTAGCTAACAGAGTTTTCGGAAACAGTCAACAGTACTGCCAGACTTTTTATCATATATATAAACGACTTCATATATACTCCCCTACACAACAACTTTTACAGTAACCACACCAACCAATTTTCAAATATGAAACCTTTTTCAATAGTGATAATCAAATTGCGAGGAGAGATGATGAAAATTGGAATTAAAAACAAAAATAATGGGAATTGAAGCCTATAAAGTGTTAACAGAAATATTGCAAGCTGTTTAAAAGGATTTAAAATCTGAAAGTTTTGAAATTGTTGTTATTGAAATTTTTAATAAAAATTAGTTTTATGGAAATCATCGAACTAAAATGACGCAGCAAACACGACATTCAGCAGACTTTTGGGATTCCAACATATTTAGTGGCTTAGCTAGATGATAAAGATAGATAGATAGATAGATAGATAGATAGATAGATAGATGATAGATAGATAGATAGATAGATAGATAGATAGATAGATAGATAGAATAGATAATAGATAGATAGATAGTAGATAGATAGATAGATAGATAGATCGATAGATAGAAGATAGCTCGATAGCTAGTAGATAGATAGATAGATGAGATAGATAATAGATCGATAGATAGAAAGATAGTAGGTCGATAGTCGCTAGATGCTCCTCGCTACGCTGCTCGCTCGTGCTCGATCGCTCGTCGCTCTCCGCATCGCTCGCTCGCTCGCTCGGTCGCTCGCTAGCTGCTCGCTCGCTCGCTGGTCGCTCGTCGCTCGCTAGCCCTCGCTCGCTCTGCTGCTCGCTCGCTCGCGTCGCTCGCCGCTCGCTCGCTCGCTGCTCCTCGCTAGCTGTGCTCGCTCGCTCGCTCGCTCGCTCGCTCGTCGCCAGTCGGCTCCTGCCCTGCTCGCTCGCTCGCTCGCTCGCTCGCTCGCCCTAGACTCCCTCTAGATCGCTCAGCTGCTCGCTCGCTCGTCAGCTCCTCCCTCCTCGCTCCCGCTGCCTCTCGCT